CCAGTTTTCACGCTCCGTTGTATGTACTAGTATGACGATTGCCCATACTACCTCGCAGACTAAGTTTCCGCAGGTTAAAACGTACGGAACCTTCAGAAATTACCAGTTTCATGCGATTTCCCTGTTAGGAACTCTTTCTGTATACAGTACTTCAATGTTCCCTTTGGTAAATTCCCTAACTTTCGACATGGCTCAATGTTTGTTAATAAAAATTACGTATCTGACACTATGACCTCGGTAGGAATATCCATGAACCACAACTGACAGGTATTCCCACCCAGAAATGTGTTTTGAAATAATTTCATCTTCCCATGAGAGAGGACACGACTATCGTGTTTTATGGCTGAAATTTTAATGAGATGCAAATGAATGCAAATAAGTGCACTCCCATAGAGTTAACATGGGGATTTTTGCTCACTGAAAAAATGTCTACATACATAAAAACTAAACACAAATCAACCATTTTATTTTGACTAAAATGCACAAGTTCTTCTTAAACACATAATGTTACCTGGAATTGTTATTCTCAATTACGAAAACGATCAACTAACATGTGCGTAAATACTTTCTGGCAGGTCTGTAGATAGTTCATTACATTATAGCTTATGCACATCTTAGTTTTCCTGTATGGTAAAAAAAAGGGAAGATGACTGCAGACACTTGCACTGGAAAGTAGTGCAACATTTACTTTCTAGATTTGGACTTTCACAAATCATTATCTAAAAATATCTGGAATCTGGCAATAATAAAACACATAGCAGAATATACATAATTTATTTAAGTCTGTGGTAAATAATTGCATGAAGTGATTTCCAAAATGGGATCATTCTGCACATCCTCCACCAAGGGTATGCTAATGTTCTCTTTGTTATTATGATTAAACTTGGCCCTGGATCTGTGGCGTTGTTAGAGTGGGTGATATTTACATTCATTCGTTGGCTGCCCTCTAAAACCCTGCCATGAATCCTGCTGTTACAAAGGAAGGCGGATACACAGTAAATTGTTGTCCACTGTTTTTGACCCAAGCAGATGAACCTAATACCTACTAATAGTCTGAATTTTTTCTGTAAAATCTTGATTACACTTGGTTAAATGTAAAGGTAAATATCACCCACCAACAACGCCATGAATGCAGAGTTAAGTTGAACTGCATAAAGCACAGTGATGATAAATAATATATTTTCGATACTTCTATGTTCACCAATGTAACTCTGTTGTCTATAATGTATGTAATGAGTATGAGGACTGATTGTATTATATTGTTTTACACCTATGGTAAACACTGCCCTCTATAGCATCGTTTTATATATTACCAATTCAGTTGTTCATAGTAGAAATATGGTAATTATATGCAAATGAGGTATTGACAAACTAACAGTTTAGTTGATGGGAGAGTATTTTAAAGTTTCAGAATAATTTTACTTGTGCTGACTGACTCCTAAATATGTATTCAGTCCGGAATGTATTACATCTTGCTATGAAATGTATCTGCAAGGGATTCAGACTGGTCTTTTTCTGTTGTCCTTTGGTCGTTATCTCAAATCGTGGTCAGATGAAAGAGGATTTTTTTTTTCATTATATGTGTGATTTTGTTGATCATCTCAGTTTAGTCACTCCCTGAAATTGAAAAAAACAAACAATGCAAATTGTAGTGATTCATTGCCTATAACAAGAGGTACTCTGGAACTTACACAGTTGCATTTTTAAAGAATGTATTTTTGATATGCATGGGCCAATCAAGTTCAAACTTCATGCATACATTATACACTGTATCAGTCAAATGCACATGCACATGTAATGGACAATGACTTGTGGATCACTGTGTGAATTCAGCCATAATGTTCATGGGGAATTAGCAAGGAACATGTCAAAGTTGTCTGATTGGTGGCCAAAATATGTTCAAAATATGTGTGCTTGGTAAGCAAGCAGTGTAGAATTTTGCAAGAAACAAATTTTCGCAAACCAGTGAAAATCATGAAATTTGTTAATTTGTTGTCAAAATATTTTGTACTCATGAGTGACGTCCTCAAATCATGGAATGAAAATTAAGAGGATTACAGTGGACAATTTATGTAAAATACATTGTGTACTTGAAATGTTAACATTACTGGAATCCTAGTGTCATCTGTAATGTATGAAAATATTCTTTTTATTTGAAAAATTTATATTAATGACACTTTTGAATTATGTTTTTATTTGATGTATATATTTTCAATTTTAATAAAATTGCTTCGAAACATAATTTTTGCTTTGTTTGTAATGTGATTATAATTATAATAATAACTTTATTGACATTATTCATTTTGAAAATAAATAGTCAAATACTATTCTAAGAAACAAAAAAGAAGAGATGAAAATAAATATACTGTTGACAATGGTTTAGAAAATGGCACTTTCGTTAATATAAACTGCCAGTTCTATATGTATGTTACCCATAATATATATAAACTATATTTAATATAATATATGAAAAAGTCAAAGGTTGTTTGGCAATGATGTCATCAATCAAAATTGTTATATGCAGCTAGCTCTACAAGTATTCAAAGTAGTTGATGTGTTTGTTTACCTGTTTGCCAAAGAAAAGATGAATGCATGATCAATTTGTTGAACCATGGAAGGTACTAATGTTAGTACCTTCCATGGTTCAACTAATATCTGAAAAACCAAGGCTGCTACATTGTATTTGGTACATGCATACTTTATGGTGAAATCGAGACTGTATGTACCCAGTCAATTAATATTAATCAAGTATGTCAGATAATAATTAACTGCTATAGCATGTTCTTTGTGTCTTTACAACTTTTTTCTCAAATGCATAATTACATAATTAGTTTTTTGATGAATGTCGCATAAAAGTTTCTAATTAATCTTACTATAATAATTAGCTAAGTTGCATACTAATTAACTATTTTCATCAGACAATGTTTGATCTTAACAGTTTACTCAAATGAATTGGAACTATTACATGAATACAAGAGTTGCAAATAGTATATTAATTAGCTAATTTATGTACAAGTTAACTGTATCCAGCTTGCTCTGTGTTTTAATCGCAAATGCAGCCAATAGGAAGTTTTGTCTACATGGTCCATACTAATCATACAATCTAGAAATGTACATAAACAACAATTTTGTAGATAAATGTACATGTGGTTGTTTGTGTTTTTAATCTTCATCCCAACTCTAACTTAGTTGATGGTTGTGATGCTGGTGATATTGGGCAGGAAATCTTCCTCGTGAACCATCAGAAGTCTGCGACATTAGCAACATATCTGTTGTCAAAATGTGGTCAAGAGGCATACATTTGTTCAGTTACCATGACAGCCACTGGTAAAATGGGAATGACTTATCCATGTACAGATATCTGGAAAAAAAAGCACCATGACTGTAATCACATTTTGGACCAGCAATAATCTTTGCATTACATGTAAACTGAGTCATTGTGGCACCTTACTCCATAAATCTGATAGAGAGGTTAATAATGTGTCTGATATGAGTATTTTCCCCATGGGAAGTTTTGCTCGATGGTGGAAGTGTATAGAGAACATTAGCTTCCTTCTATCTTTGTGTTGCTGCTGTTCAAGAAAGAAACTACATTTCACCTGTTACAAATGAGCAGCAATGAGATGCACAGTGATGTTGGGAAAGTCTTTGTTTCCAAGAAAACACTCTTTGTATTCCTTGAATGTCCAATTGATTTGTTGCAAGCAGGGCAATATTTCTTCCGCATATAATCTCAAATCATACACATTTTTATCTACAATACCAGTTTAAGATGTTTTTACAGGACCTCAAAAAACTACAAATAATTTGCCAAAAATCAGGTATAGCAATTTCGAATTATGACCCAGGGGAACTACTATATATTCAATAATACAGATGTCTGAGGGTACTAAGGCAACCAGTTAATGCCCAAATGTATTGCCCAAATTCAGCTTTAAATTAATCGGAGCCAGATCGCTTAACTTTGAATTGGTTTGTGTTTGAAGTTCTAACACTGATTAGGTGTTTCTAAATCATTTTCACCCATCATACTTCATAACAGAGATATTTCATTGAACTATTCAAGACCGATTTTAATTTTGACAAGCTATTTGATGGAAGACTGGTGTTTTGAATGTTAAAATCCGCAGCGTGACGCCTTCGTTAAGAATCTTTGGTCAGTCACTCTACCCTTGCTGGACCATCCAATGTTTACACTATCATGGCGTTTCGCTTGGCGATATACCATCTATCCAAATTATGTAAATAGATACTTAATCTCAAAGGTGACAACTTTGATGGTTTCAAAAAAAACAGTACAACATGATTTACATGATTCGCAGAGGTTATGGCCACTCAATGACTATTACGTGTATCCTCAGTGGAATATTCAGTCTTCAACAAATGTTGCTATCTGAAACATCCTAGACAAGACTTAAAATTGTTTTCATATTAGCCTTAAACTTAAATGTTTGATTTACAAACCACAGTCATGAGCTTTCTTGAAGAACCTTGTCCTGCTATGTCATGGTGTAGCCATAGCAACACCTTAACGCCTTCCATAATCGTCCATACGTCACATATCTACTTACGTGTTTAGGGCTATATTTAGCAACCAGCCTGCGCCTTCACTTTGCTTCTATTGGGGGTACAGATAGCCCGCATGTTTCAATGTCCTATAATTTTAATAAAGGGTTAGATTCGGGAGGGTCGCACTCTGTTACTACTCTCTCTGTCAGGAACAAAAAAGCAGACCTGCTTGCTGCTAAAATGGTTGGCGGATGGTTGGGAGAGACAAAAACAGGGGTTATCGAAGTACTAATGGTGTCCCAGGCGGGTAGCTTAAATTTTATGAGGGGATTTCCCGTATATGCTTCATCCTACACTGAAGTACAAATCGGGCAATTGAAAACTAAATCTACAATCTCATATTCCATTAGCTCGTTTTTTTAAAGAGAGCATGTTTCCAATGTACGTGTGTGTCTTGTATATTCATATACTAACATATTAGTGTTGTTATTATTTGTAATATTACATTTAATTTCATTGTTTCAGAGATTGTGAAAGATTCCATTCTAATGACTACTTAATGTTGTAATATGTAGACACTGCATACCTGCAATAAATGGGACACGTCATGGAATAAGTTTTATGAAAAAGTATTGATAGTCGATATTTTTGGGTTATTGGCTATAAATTTACTTAGGAGGTTATAAAAAGTTGATTGGAAATGATACCAACCTACAATTTTACTATCATCAGCCAGTGACTGTAAAATTACCAGTGTTACGATTGTGTCAAGTTCAAAATCGACAAGGAATTCGAAGGTTTCCATCAATCATTGCATTCAGAAATGAAATTACTGTATAACTATTGACTATATTTGCGTTTTACGATTTATTAATATTTAATTCAAGTCATGATCGTATTTCTACTAGCTCGATTATAATTCAGTTGAACCCTATATGGGATTACAATTTAATTTTACTTAATTAATCGAAACGGTTTATAGAGTTACGTTTTAATCAATCATAAGACAAATCGCGAATTGCGGTAATCATTTTTGAGTGATTTCAGTATTGCTCTTGAAACTAAGAAAGAGCACCTTTGACATACCTCAAATAATTCTAGCCACCAGGTGAGACCCCTTCTCTGAAATGCGTGGAAGTTGTATCGAAAAGTAACCAAGGCGGACTGTTACGCAAATCAGACGTTCCAGAGAAATGTCACACCAGAATCTACAATAATACGTGTCGTTTTCGTCGATGAGAAGGAAAACTGAATGTCTTTTTTTCTTCGTAAATATGAAGATTTATCGAAAATTTAGTAGAGTTAGCAACACTTTGTGACGTAGGTATGTCATGAATTTGTTTTTGCGTATCTGTTGGTCGACTTAATTAACTGATTATTAGCGAATTGCTGTGTTATATCTGTCATCGTTTAGGCCTATTTGAAGTTTTGGACGGAACTTGGCTCAGTGATTTGGAACTAATTACCAGATAACCGTCGCGATTCTGACAGTTGGTGTCCATAGTTATTAATGTAGTGAACGATTAATCAAAAGATATGACGTATTCAGTACTTAGTGTGATTGGCTTTATGATTGAAAGTTACGCCCTAGAGTCTTTTTACTGTTTTGTAATTGGTTAGAGTTTTGAAAATGAATAAAGAGAGTTTGAGTTGGTCTTTGGGAGCACAGCACGATAGACGAGTCGTGGTCCAGTCCTGGAGAGTCTTGGGGCGAGTGTTGACGCAGTCTAAGAGAGTCTTGGGTCAGCCTTGTGAGAGTCTTGGGGACTTTTCCCCAGGGCGCTGTGTCTTATAGAGTGCTCCAAAAGATCGACTAAGACGAGAGTTGAAACGTATTTCGTTGTGTGTGCCTTATTTGACTGTAAAGTTAAAGTGACTTTCCCGATCCCGTACCTCAAGGGGACGAGATAGAGAGACGAGACGAGTTTCCCCCCTGACACGTGTGGAGAACCCCGAGAGAAGAGATATCCCCCCTGATAGGTGAATAATTTAATATTTAGGAATGTGTTTTTTTCCAATATTTCATTGACTGTGGAGTGATGGCGCAATCGTATCGACGGGATGTCACATTCGAGGCTGGATGGCAGAAATTGTATGAGACGAAGTAGAGTACAGTTTCTGCTATTCTGCCAAGAACGAGGCAGTTTGATATCGCGTTCCCGTCCAAAGATATCAACCGCAACATGAGGTCGCTCTTCCGAAATTGTCATCTAAGCGTTAGGCCGTCGCTGATTGGCTGCTGTGCTGAAATGACAATTTTTAGTTTCAAATACCCCGGCTTAGTGTTCTAGGTTCTTCGCGTAATTAGGTGTTCGTATGCAAGGGATTTTTCCACACAAAAACGACGAATTCGGCCGAATTTTGTTATCGATTGGCTTAATATAACCCCAACGGACCGTATTTTCGTGAACGATTGGTATTTTTGTCCTGATTTGTAGGAATCTGAAAAACGCGTTTCACAACTTGTCTCTTATTTAGTTGTATGCGTCATTCAAGATGGCGGCCCCCATATAGTAAATATCGTATTTATTTTATTCAGGCCCGTAGTTTGGGGAGGTTCGGGGGGGTTCGGTCGAACCCCCTAAATTTTGGAAGTGAATAGATTTATTATCGTAGTCTAAGATTAGAACATAATAAAACAAACAGTATTAATTAAAATAATTATCATTTAAATCACTTGACTCATTGAGGTAACTATCAGATTCAGCAGCTGATGTTAAATATTAAAACAACATTGAAACAATAATGTAATGGTAGTCACTCTCTGAATGATGTGGTGGTCCTGAATAGGGCCGTTTGTCTTGTGTGAGTGTTCGCTCAGTTAGTAAAGTGTCACGGTGGGGATCGAACGGGATTGACACAACACGACACTGTACTTTCCTAGTTTGGTTCAATAGTTTTGTATTCTTAAATGATGGCATATATACTGTTTTGTTGCAAGTGTATCAGCCAAATGTAGTCAACTTATTGGATTAGTACGTGTAGCCTGTGTTATTGGACAATAGTATATAGCTACGGATTCAACAGATCATTAAAAAAATGACGAGTTGTATAGGTCGAAGAGTTCCTTGCAGCCACAAATTTACCCACATTGTTGCTTCAGCACTGAAACTATGCGACGAATCATATTTTTCAAACATATTTTTTTACACGTTTTTTGTTTTGATGTCTTAGAAAATTAACTATATTTTTAGTGGGTTCATAAAAAGGAGATGTAGTCATTGAAGTCTATTGAGACCGCTGCTAAACTGCCACTATATATATATTATTTTACCGCCCTCTAAAACAGATTTACAATGAACCAAAACATTTACATACTGTAAGAAACATATATGGTATGTCATTGGTTAGTGCATTTAATTTGTTTGATGCAATCATTGTTCCAGCTATTTCTTATAGTAGCGATATTGAGGTAC